TTTAAAGTGAAAGTAAAATGGGCACACCGCTTTTACAAGCTATTTAAAAGTGAAGGAAAGCGAGAAAAGAGGGAATGCCCCGCCCCCGCGGTGATACCGGTATTACCGGTGTTGTCACGCGCCGATTAACCGGTGGGAAAATTTCCTCACCGACACAACCCTAATCTATATCGGCCAGTCTTAGTCATCAGAAGCACAAAGCTTCTCTGGGATTGTGTAATATATCACAGACAAGGAAAGAAATCAAACCAGAAGGGCAGCACACTTATGAAAACACATTCTTATCCATAAGACAAAGCAACGTGAAGTTCTTGAACATGACAAACTAACAGACATTTCAGCAGTACGTCTTCAAGACGAGCACCTCCCTGCTGGAGAAACTCCATCCATCTGTTTATGAGCAAACAAAGCCAAGTAGCTCCTTTTAAGGAGGCTGTGGCAGAGAAGGAGAAATATAAGTGAGCTCTTTCTCCTTAGCCAGCAGGGTTTTAGGTTGGAGGATTACGACGGCATATCTACAATCACATTATTCTCTCTTACCCCTGCCTGCGAAGCACTAACATCCACTACGGAAAACAGAGTGCCTGGGAAAGGATATCCAAACACAATCAGGCATTAACCCCCACACATGCTTTGGGGAATGGCAAGACAATACACAATATCCAAAAGAAGACATTTTGGGTCTTCTGCCTATTTTCTGAGCGCTGGTAAACGCTGCAGACGTAGCGAGACAAACCCTGCTGCCAGCACACCATAGGTGCTCAGTGCAGGAGATGGAGGAAGCTGTTGCCATGGAAACGTGCAACACACAGGTCGCCAAGCAACTGCCAATCGTGACCCCGCCATTCCCGCATCCTCCGCCATGTATGAGAGTGTTTATTGGCGTCTTCTCAACTGTGACGACTAAAAGCAGTTTCCAAGCATGAAAATATGCATGTATACATATGTACTGTATTGTGATCACTGTCAAAACAGCTAAAAAAAAATCTTAATGGAATTAGAGCTGCACCTAAATGGCCAAAGAGAAAATCCAGACTGAAGATTTAAATGGAAACCACTACTTCAACATTTAACAAAAGAACCACTGTTACATGACGTTAAAATGAGAAAGGTTATAGTTTTTGAAATACGGACAGCAGAAGTCTATGAAAGGATACTTCTTCAAAATTTGAATGTGAATATGGAAATTATGCTACCAATAATGGCTTTTAAACCCTATAGCTTCACGGTTTAAATGGGGCAGAAAATGAGTAGCAATGAAGACTACAGTATCCAGAGTCAGATTCACAATCTTACCTTTGTTCTTGTTTTCACTTTTGATTTGACTTTTTGCCGCCTTTTTAGCTTCTTCTTGCTCAAAGCTTTCTTTCCCCTGGAGAAGAATGACACATGTTAGTGGTTTTGCAGTGTGATCTATCAATAATCACAAATGACATGGTTTCTGAAGGTGAATTTAAATCTTGAAGGCCTTTTTAAGACCAAGTAAAGAAAATGTAAGGGTAACATAACGTTTCAATATGTTCTATACATGCTTAAGGAGCAGACAGTGAATTGTAATAACAACACTTCACAGTCTGAAAATACAATTTCCAACAGATCTCTGTTAATTTTTACTCCATTTTTACAAAAAACAAAGAATATGAAAATCATTTTAAATGTAGCACAAATAGTGATGTACTTCCTCAGTATTTTTGTCTTGTTTTCCATTGCAAATGTCTAAAGATTCTTAAAGGGTTCATATTCTGAGAAATCAAAATTCCCTTGATCTTTTGGCATATAAGATGTTATTGTAATATACAAACATCCTGAAAGTTTCAGAACTCAAAAACAGCTTATATATTGAAGGCAGTCTGCCAAAATGACAGCTTTTGGAATGTTCTACTCTATGATGCAATAATGTGGATAAGCACCGCCTCCACAGAAGAAGATCAACATCACTGCCCGTTAAGCCCCGCCCACCAATTTGCACATGTAGTGTTTACGAGAGAGGCAAACGCGCAAGTCTACGCAAAGACCAAACGATAAAGATGGCTCTGAAGACAACAACGCTGTGCAGTGCCAAGTTGTGCAAAAACAGTGTTCGCGTTGCCTTCCTTCTGATCAATCTCAACATTAGGAAAGAGTGGATCAACTTTATTTTTAATGAAGTTCCAAACCGCATCAGTAAGAACTTGGTAGCTTTGTTCACTTTATTTTACCGTGGATTTGTTTACAAACAAGGCACAATTCAATGCGGGGTTTTTTTTAAAGATTGAAACTAAAAGACGATGATGTGCTGACTACAGTGGATACGATGTCGCACCACACAAGTGTGAGTAACTGTTTTCATTACATTGTCACTATTGCTTTGTCTCTTCTTACAGATCGTTTGATATGTATTGAGTTATGCGTTTTTGACCTAAATCCCAGAAGCGTCCATCTATGAGGAATGTACGCTGTCAAACATACAAAGCTATTAGTCAATCATAGTAGTGGGCGTTTACTTCCGAGTCTATGTGCCACGCCTATTCAAACAGAGCGTTCTGATGAGAGGGGTTAAAAACAGGACAGAAAAGGCTCTAGCTTATTACTTCTAAATTATGTTTTTTGATGTAAACATTTTTATAACATTATAAGTGGACCTCAGAGAACAGTACAAAATAAAAAACAAAGGCAGTTCATGACCGCTTTAAATCAAGATGCACTGAGAAGTAAAATGATATGAGTCTTATGCTACGTTTACACTGTCAGTTTAATGTGACCCAATTCCGATTTGTTGCTCAGATGTGACACAGATCGGATGTGTTCTTCTATGATAGTGTGAACAGGAAAAAAAGCATGCATTTGGATATTTCGAGATCGGTTTCGGGCCTCATTCCCATGTAGAAATAAATCAGATACAAATCAGATATGTGCCAATGCGACTCATATAAACAGGCAGATCGGATTTTCTGAGGCATTGCGTTCTTAAAACAGCGTCATTAAAACTGCCACAATTTGGTACTTCTCTGCGGTTTAATGACGTCATATTCTTTATGTCGTCACAATGCACAATGTTTCAGGTGGTATGGCAAGTGTAAACACACATGAATTGGATATGGGTCACAAACAATTGAAAGAACGTGTAAACGGACTGTCAAAAAAATTGGATATATGCAACAAATCAGAATTGGGCATCAAGACCTGCAGTGTACCCGAGGCCGTATTTCCTGAGAAACTGATCCAAATGAAGTGTTTATGATTAAAACAAGAGCAAATATCTGCCAATAGGGTGAGAAAAATATACTTAATTAAAAAAACAAGACTTCACATTTGCATCTCAAATACATGTATCTTTACAAAAGAATAAATAAATAAACGCATCTTTAAAAATATCTTTAAGAAAAAAAACACTTGAGGAAGATTTTTCTTTTTCTTTTTTTTTGCAGTGCATGCAACATTTAATGCAGTGACTTTCTGTTTAAATTTAATACCTTATTAAGATCCACAGAAGCCCTGAATTAATACCAAGGTCTATTTAGATAATAATATACAAAGGGCAATAAGTCTGGTCCAAAACTGCAGGTTATTCTGGCCAAGAACTGTCCACTTAAAAACAGAGATTGTCTAACACGTGGAAACTGACTAAACACAGTTCATTTTTGGTTTTATATGCTGTTGTTCAGAGATGGATTTATGCCTAGAAAAACTGAACAGCAGCAGCTGTCCAAAAAAACATGCAGTGTGTTAATCCTGCACCTCATAAACACGACTTTGTTCTCCGGTGGACTTTTCGATAGACAGAAATAGTGTGGTCAATCACTTTCGATCTGCCGATTTTCAGATATTGGTTGGCAGTTTAGTGTGCAATATGAATCAGACAGCCAGTGAATTGATTGTGGGCATCTGAGGTTGACACTACTACTAACATATTTGGCATTTTCAATTTTGTTTGTCAAGTAGTTAGTACCAGTTCAATATACTGGTATAAAGTTCAGAGGTCATACATCACAATCGGTCAGCACATGTAGTCATAATGTGCGGTTTTAACATGCATTTTTAATAAGGATGGATTTTAAGAGCAGTAATATCTTAAAGGGACTCCATGCTGCCATGTTAACACCTTTGCAATAAAGCCCATGTTGGTCTTTTTCACACTGGTTTAAATTTGCTTACACACAGTAAAATGACACTGTTTGTCTAACATGAGAAACTGCAAATAGCCCAAATCCTAGTGGCAACCCCACACAAGAAAGCGCTCGGGCAGCAGGAGATCATAGTTTTATTTTCATCAAGAGAGTCATGTGAATCTGCTATTATGTAGAACGTTATGTAGGAATGGTGCTGAAGTGCTAGAGTTTGTGTACAGCAGTAAACAATGGAACAACGGCAGCTGATCATATGCAGTGAAAAGTGAACGCACAGAGGCTGCTTGTGATGAAGAGCCTGAAGGTTGGGAGGGGCGTTCAATGGTTCAGCGCACTTTGCATGCTATCAACGCTGGTGGCGTCATGAGTGGATGGTGTAAGTGTACACTATGAAACCACTGGTAAAAGGAATATTAGACCTCAAGGAAAATCATTTTCAAACTCCTACTTCCCAGAGATTGGAATGAGGGAAAAAATGTGGTCCATTTATTTTCAGTTTTGCCAGCTGATACAAATTGAGACATGCATTTTAAGGATCTTCATCACATACATTCTACTAAACACATTTGTATGATTTTTTTTTGATAACTTTTGCATAGAGAAGTCAGTAACAACATAGCATGTACCATTCTTTTTGACTTGATCTTAATCTCAAAGATCTTAAACAATGTATTAGATTATTTTTGTTGACCTCTAGTCATTCTGTGCTTATTAATCTTGACTAGAGTTGTATATGTTCATTTAATTGATTTTATTCAAATTTTGATTCATTTAATTGATTTTATATATATTTAATGATTTTTTAGGTAAAATTTAATATACATTAAATGCAATTAGGCAAACCTAAAACAAAAAATTTAAAAAAAAAATGTTATTTTTAATGAGTATTTTGATTTATTAAATCAAATAAAAAATCAAAATCTACTCATTTGCAAAGAGGCTAAATATAATTTAAGAGTAGGAGCTTGCAGTTCTTTAGTAACTGCTGCTTGTAAATGACTACCAAACCTTTTTGCTTCATGCTTCCCAGTTATTTGAATGGGGAAAAAATGAGGTCACTCACTCACTTCATTTTCAATTTTGCATTTTTAATATAATTTGCGACATCCTTCTAAAAATTCTTCATGACATATATTTTTGTAAGTACATTATCACAACTTAATAATGAAAAAATTTTGCATAGAAAAGCCAGTAAAGAAATAATAATAATAGAGTAATATAGTAAAAAAATATATATATAGTATACTAAATAAAATTACAGAATTATGACAGTTGTTACTCTCAATGATATTAGAAAAAAAATAGTAGATTATTTTTATTGACCCCTAGTCAAGTTTTATGTGTGAAATTATTATTATTTGTAAAATTCAAATAGATTAAATCAATTTGGCCAATCTAAATTTGAAATAAAAGTCTTCTGTATGAGTCTGCTTTATTTATTGAATCTGTTAGATATGCTGCATTTCATTTGCTAAAGAGTTCAAAATAATTGAAGCATAGAAATGCGTGTGTTCTCATTCTTACTTATTTCATTTTTTGGCAACTGTGAAACATCTTATGGATTAAGCAAAGGTCAAAGTATGAATATATGAACAGAAACAATAATGATTTGTACAGTGGGATCACTAATAAGAGACAGCTCTGAGGTGAAGCACATCAGTGTGTGTGTGTGTGTGTGTGTCTACAGCAGGGTGACGTCAGGCAAAACAGAACCCAGCCCTTCACCTCAACGAGACTCACGCCTGCTGCTTTGAATATATACACGATACCATATGTAATATCGTTGAATAAGTCACAGTTATGTAAATGTATTAGCTGGTTATGAATAACTATCTGTCTGAACATGCAATTCAGTGAAGAAGGCTGATACCCACAACCTGAACTGGGACTATAAACCGTTTCACAAGCCTGACAACATTTCGCTTGTCTTTAATGTGCACAAATTTGATGCGAAAGGTTTAATATATCCTTCTTCGCATAACATATAATTGTCTGTGCACTGTATTTGAAGCCAGTTGAGTTTTATTATACACATTAAACTCATCCAGCCACGTCCTATTAGCACACTAACGTTAACGTTACATCATGAGCCTATAAGCAGCTGCTAACGTTACAGCTATTGATCTAGCCGTGCAAGATGTCTCGAAACGGCATTGTTGACCGTGACAGCAGAGTGAACGTGATTTTAAAAAGTGCACAAATCAAAATCAACACAAACTGAGCTTCTGCGTTGACCTGCATGAGATGAAACGAGTTTTAGCTGCGCCCGCTAAGGAAGTTAGCCGCATGCTAACTGCTAAGTTACTGCTGTTTGGGCACAAACGAGCTCATGTTTAACCCAATGGGTTTTGTTTACAAACACGTCCATCAGTACGCCGGTTTGTCATCCCGAACCGAGCCGGTAAATCAGACCCACCTGCCGAGGTTGAGCCCCTGCTCTTTGTCGTTGATCGCGGTGGTGTAAATCCTCCGGTACCGCTCCGCCAGTGCTCGCCCTGAGAGAAGAAGCTGGTAGCGACTCCGACAATCCGAGCGGGCCCCCACAACGGGACAGGAGCCCATCCCTGATCCGATCGATGCGAAATCGTTTCCAGCTCCGGGAATCACCCTGACTCCCAGCCCCATGGAGTGGGACGAGGAGGACGGGATCCCGCTGCCACCGGCACCCGCTGCCGCAGCAGCACACATCATCGTTTAGGGGAACAACGCATATATTAGATTACAATGTCAGTCAACAGAGCTAAAAGTCCCAAGCCTCCTCCATAAATCCGCTCCGCAAAGCCGCAAAAACGCCCGGCGAATTACATCAGAGTACGTTATCTCCAATTAAAACGACGTTTACGGTTAGCCGCTCTGCTGCGACTGCGAAATACGCGTCCCTTCTTCCCTTCGCTCGGATCAAAAACCGACCGTTATTTCCTCGACTGCAGGCGATCCAACTGCCTTTAGTGAAAGAAGTCAACAGCGCGAGCTGACGTCTGTGCCTTGCGTTTGTTCCTGCTATTTTTCTTGACCCTGTAAAGACAGCACCCCTAGCAGCGCTGCCATCTTAGCTTCATCATCCTTCCCTGTTCATGTCGCTGACTGTCAAGCATGCTGGGATACATTCCCATCCGTAGCACACACCGGCTGTGATTCAAAACGCAGTGCGCGGACTACCTAGCCACTATTTGGGCGCGCGAGCGACGATTCTGAATCTGTTCTGAATGCGCCTAGAGTGCTGTCTTGCTAGTGGACTCTGTAGGTTTGTAAACGCGCCCGCTGTAGTAATGGAGCGGCCGAGTATAACGCGTCAGATGCAGGTTTGGATGCTTTAACGTTCGTTTCTTCTAAATGTGAATTTGAATCACACAGCCCAATCCAACATACCTTAAATTTTAAGGTTATTATGCCCTGACAATAACATGAGCTACGAATTTCTGGGAATATCTGGTAATATTAGGCCTATTTATAAGATATTTTATACGTTATTATTGTATTTTCTGGAATACTTGATTCTGATTGGTCAACAGCAGAATACAGCTGTAGAACGTAATTTCACATTTTCTGTTTCTCACATAATAAAATAATTTCAACTAATTAACTATGTTTCATTTATTAGTAGTCAGGCTTTAAAGAGATAGTTCACCCAAAAATAAAAATTCTGTCATCATATATTCACTCTCTTGTCATTACAAACATGTATGACTTAATTTATTGTTTTGTTTGTTTGTTTTGTTTGGGGGGGGGGGGCATATAATTTAGATAGATAGATAGATAGATAGATAGATAGATAGATGACTGATAGATAGATAGATAGATAGATATATTTGTGAAAAATAAGTGCTCTTAATTTTATTGAACATCCACTTGTAATATACTTCAAATCTTAAAGCTATATTTTAAAAGGAAAAGTATATTTAAAAATATATTATTTTATAAAAAAGTATATTATTTCCATAAGTTTGCTGAAGGGTCACATGGGTCCCCCTTATGGCCCTGGTACTTGAAAACATAGGGTTGACTTAGTTGCAACCCATATATTCTCTTTGTATCCACAACATTTCACTTTGATATCAATTCTGTATACCTGCAACGATCTCTTCTCAGATGTAACATTTCTCTTCACTGATAAAAAATAATTGGCAATTGTCTTGGCGGGAGCAGTCACCTCACCTCTGTGGAGAGAGCTTTAATTAAACCTGGCAAACTTCAGTTTTCATGTCATCTTTGAACAACAATGAAACTTTTGAAACAAAAATATTAATGCATACCTCACTGTATGAGGTAATCTTCAGAGAGTTGAAACATGGTAATGCAGAAGGGACATAAACATTTAAGTGGATATTACTATATTATTGTTCATGCAACCTTTGCCTTTAAAATATAATCATAAATAATCTAATAGACAATCCACCCACAGTGCACTATTAAAAATAAAGGTTCCCATTTCAAATATTTCACACTAGTATGATCAGCAGGTATGAGACAAATAGAATATGTATGTGGATGTCTGGGAGAGATGAGAAAAGGTTACAAGAGAGTAAGTGCACATGTAATAAGGTCATAATAAGGTTTCTAACAACACAATATGCACAGGTATCCTAAAATTAAAACAATGTTTAATGCAGTGAGAAAGGTACAAATTCATACTTAGAAATTCTTCATTTTAAAACGTCACTGCAGTAAATTCATGAACGCAAATATGAACTTTTTAATTTCTTGCCCCATCTAGTGGTGAGAAACGTCATTGCTAAAGTGAAAAACGTCTGTCTATCTATCTATCTATCTATCTATGTATATATCTATCATCTATCTATCTATCTATCTATCTATCTATCAGTCATCTATCTATCTATCTATCTATCTATCTATCTATCTATCTATCTATCAGTCATCTATCTATCTATCTATCTATCTATCTATCTATGTATATATCTATCATCTATCTATCTATCTATCTATCTATCTATCTATCAGTCATCTATCTATCTATCTATCTATCTATGTATATATCTATCTATCTATCTATGTATATATCTATCATCTATCTATCTATCTATCTATCTATCTATCAGTCATCTATCTATCTATCTATCTATCTATCTATCTATGTATATATCTATCATCTATCTATCTATCTATCTATCTATCTATCTATCTATCTATCTATCAGTCATCTATCTATCTATCTATCTATCTATCTGCCATCTATCTATCTATCTATCTATCTATCTACCGTAAGCATGTTGCATGATGATACAACTTTGATTCATTAAATTAACCTTAAAAATAAGGTTGGTTCTAAATCACTTTTCTTGCAACAATATTGAGGTAAGGATAATATATATATAACTGATGTACTCAGAATTAATGATAAATCTACATTACATTTTCAACCACATTTTCGTGATACAGTTTATATTACTACAGTAAAACGTTAACAAAGGCACTTTTCCAGAGACACTTTATTTAACACAATCAATGGGAAGTTTTGCATTCAATGATTGGGGAAAAAATAAAAAATAAAATCTTACAAGAGAACTTGGTAAAATAACAGGAGAGAGTAAATGCAGCACAAAAAGGATAAAAGCACTACAATATTTGAGAATTTTGATGAATATCTGATGATATATATGACTAACTTTGTCAAACCTCTCAACAAAATCTAAATTACGACTATGATTTAGTGTTAATAAATTTTGTAATCTATTTATTCATTTGTAAATAGAAAAGCTGTCCAATCCTGCTCCTGGAGGGCCGCTTTCCAGCCCTGATTCAACACACCTGAACCAGCTAATCAAGGTCTACAGGATCATTAGAAACTTCCAGAAAGGTACAAGTGAAAAAGTATTTCACGTTTACCTTCATTACTAATAACAAAGCTTGTAGTTTTCAAAGGCAATTTATTTAAAGCTGCCAATTCACCTAATATAGACCCAATTAATCTCTTTATATGTCACACAATAGCCATGTCTGCTACTTTCTCATAAACAAGAGTTTGTTATGACTTTTAGGCTAAACTGAATCAAGATCAGTCATATGCATCATGATTCAGAGGTATGAATGAGTACCTGATAAAGCTGTAATCAAGCATTTGGCATATTATCCTGATTGCTTCTCAGTAAGTTTTTTGCACTTAGATTTCTCAAATAAATTTCACACATGGAATTAAGTAAAATCCTAACTTAAAAAGTTAAATAATTAAATTAATACATTGATGTGCTCTCTACAATCCGCATACATTATGTACAAGTATTTGCGTTGCGTTGACCGTTGTTTTTGTAGATCCCGCCTTCTCGCACGCCACGATTGGTCGATGATGTACAATGCCTGCACGCCATTGGTCGAACTACTTTTCAGTCATTACCTTCAGCAAGTATGAAAACAATAGGAAAACAAAGCCAAAATCTGGGCTCTTGGCAATTTAGAAATGTCCTGGAAAAGAGGACGTATGACCAGTCGGTTTTTAAGGCAAGTGTTCACACAAACTTACTTTATTTTAGACATACATTTTTAATTTGTTACTGCATTGACGTTAGCACAGCTATACTCATTGAATAACACAATAGTTAACTTATATAACCATCCTACAACCTAACCACATGTTCCACTGTTAACCGCAAAAACGCCAACAACAGAAACTCTTTTAAATGTCCAGCTGAACTTTAAACATGGGTTTGCCTTTACACAAAACACATTAAATAGCACTTAATTTCAACATTTATTCTCCCAAATGAGTCCTATGGAAATCATGCTGGGAACTAAAACTCACCATGCCGTTTCATTTATAGAAACAAAAAAAGATAAAAGATTTAAACTTCAGTTTCAGATATTTGAGTGAACTGAACACAATGAAATTAAGTTGTAGTAATAAAATGTTCAGCAATTATGTTACTTGTGTTACAAAATTGAACAAGCAGATAAAAGAACCTTATTTAAACCTCAGATGCCCAATGTTTCCTGTTAAATAAATACAATCATTGTATTCTCAGTCCAAACCTTGTATTTGCAAACATTAATATTTGCATTAAAATGATTGGTGTAACATAAGAAGCAGCTTCTTCCTCATCGAATGTCACCAAGATTGATTGTCTTTTGCATATTACACACTTTAAAACTATTGAGGAAGGGTGTGATTAACATGAACCGCAGCGTCACACCCCACAGACATACTCTTCATATTTTCTGTCAGACATACTATATACGTTACCTCCCACAATAAAGCACAAACCTAACAACCGCAGACTTCTGCAACAACACCCCTGTTCATTTAGAACAACCAAAAAAATATTTTCCGGCTCAGAGTGTTTCATCTTCTGAGGTTCAGAGCTGTATCATTATATAATGTTATATCGCCAAGCCTTCACCATGTACACTGAAAAAATGGTGAAGGGTTTACTTTGAAATACTTTTCACTCTACATTTCACAAATACAAAGAAATGGCAAGTAACTTTTGTCAATTTTGAAGTAGAAAGACTGCAATAATATTTTCTTGTAAAACATACTCCAATCCTTTTTATTTTATTTACAACTTTGAAAAAATCTTTTTTTTTTTTTTATAAATAATGTTGAAATCATAATTGCTGGTAAATTTCACAAATAATTACAAAGAAATGGCAAGTAACATTGTGAAATTTTGAAGTAGAAAGACTGAAATGTATTTTCTTGTAAACACACTCCAACAATCTTTATTTTATTTACAATTTCGACAAATCATTTTTTAGTGTACACTAAAAATATGGAGATTTAGGCTACTTTGAAACAATTTTTAATCTTTCATAATTTTCACAATTATACAGAAACAAGTAATTAATTGAAGTAAACATTACATTTTAAAGGGGTCGTATGATGCGATTTCAAGTTTTCCTTTCTCTTTGGAGTGTTACAAGCTGATTGTGCATAGATAAGATCCCTGAAGTTGCAAAGAAGTAAGTGCCTGATTCAGAACTACAATAATTGCTGGCAAAATATTATAAGCAATAAACAATCAGAATTACAGACGTTTGAACCTGTAAACCTTGAGAGCAACACCCCAAACAGTTTTATCTTGCCGTCTCGGTGGAGGTTGTTATGGTGGCTTTCACATAGTTTCCTAAGACAGACAATTGGCTGCTGATGTCCTGCCATTCA